AGAAAGCTCTTCGAGTGGTCATTGTGAGCCATCGACAGTTTGCAACCAAGGAAAGCTATCGGGAAAGAATGGTAAGGCAAAGTTCGGTGCGAAGAAGAAGATGAGCAAAGAAAAGCTAAAGTGCTACTTCTATGATGGTCCTCATTTGATTAGAGGATGTCCTGAGAAGCGTCGCCTTACAACCATCATGGAGAGGATGGGAGAAGGAAATGTAGCAGGAATTGGCGGAGGCACAAGTGTTAAAGCTGCCAAGTCAATAAAAAGACTTGGTCCGATTGAGGAGATCAATGCGGCCAAGCAAGAATCGAGACGAGGCTACATGTTCCAAAGTAGCTAAATTGAGGGACAAAGATGGTGTGACTACAAGTGCTCAAGTAGTCAATCTAGGATCGAGACGTGATGAGACTGCGGGTGTTAAAGCAGTCGAGCACAAGAAGGGACCCGGTGCGATAGCAAGTGATAAAGTCGTCAAGTCGAGGGTGCAAAGTGAGCAAGTTCGCTCACATTATGCCAGGATGGAGGCGTGGTCTAAGTTGAGACATCTCAGGCATAAAAGGACACATAAGGAGTATGTGAGTCGATTCAGAAGACTCATGCTCAAAGTCTCGAGTTTGACTGAAGAAGATGCGTTCTTCACCTTCATGTTTGGATTAAAGCCGTGGGCGAAGAAAGTGTTGGAGCGAAGGGAAGTCAATGAGCTATCTAAATCCTTGACAACCGTTGAGTCCATCAAGGAATTTAGAGTCAAGAAGAACAAGATTTCCAAACCAAAGCCGAAAGCCGAGGGTAGCGGCAAGAAATTCCACAATAAAGGCAAGTCAAAGGATAAGGAATGTTATTCCTCGAGTGGCAAGGAAAGTCCACTCAATTATGAACTAGATGGGGGATCTGGGGATGATGTGTGCAGTAGTTCAAGTGACACAGATGCTAAGCTAAGGGTAAGAGCCGAGCAAACGATGGGGCGCAAACTTGAGATGCCAGCAGTGTTGCGAGATTACCTGAGGAGAGCCGAGTCATCCAAGGCGATGGATCGATGGATGAGCCCAGGATCGAGTTGTCCAAAGAAGAGGATGAACCAAGGATCGAGGGGGCATTGAGACTTGGCTCAGTACGGTTCATTTCTGCCAAGGCGAGTAGAAGTCAAGTGTAGGAGACACCACCCATTTCCAAGGTGGGAAATGAACTCCAACCTTCGTGTTAGAAGAGAAGATGTAAGAAGGGGCATCTGACTTTTCCGTGAGAACGTACCGATGCATGATGGCACAAAGAACTCTAATGACAAGGGTTCAATGCGGGGAGTGTCAGACTTCATGGAATAAGAAGGGTTGACGTAAATTTTGAGTAAATGCCAACTAATCAGAGGGGAATGTACATCTCGACACGATTCTAGTGTTCTTTTGAGTTTGATTTTTCGTTTTAAACGAGTGTAGGTCGGGCAAGACCTAATCTTTAACGCAGAGGAAACAAAGTTTGGATGGGATCCAAGACTTTATCACAAGGGACAGGAGGGTCCAAACTGAGGCAAATCAAGACTTGTAGGAAAGTGTTCTTACTGTAGAGATGCACTTGTGGGCGTGTTAGCCCGTTTTATCACTTGGCAGCAAGAGCCGAAGCAAGCACAGCCGTTATGGGAAGGTGAGTCCTTATGGGGGGACATGAGCAAGTGGATGTGTCGAAAGGAAACCAAGTTGATGTGAAATATGGCGCGTCGTGAAGTTACATGAGGCAGAAGCTAAGGCAAGCAGTTCATATGGGAGGACCACAATAAGCTAAGGCACTGAAGAGTATCCAAAGTGGTGTTGCCCAGGATCGTCGAATACAGCGACGAGGGCGTCGCTAGGTTCGGTGGGGGAGAATGTTACGGGCTAGAAACTTGGGTCTGAGACATTGGTATAAGCGTCCGATAAAGAGGTTCAATACGGAGTATCGGGCTTACCGAGACCACCAGACTTAGCCTAGTTCTTGGAGATTGCTTAACAAGTCTGTGAAGGATTTATTCTGAGGCGTTCAAGAGAAACGACGAGGGCGATGGGGGCAGTTTTGTCAAGGTTCGTAGATTCGAACCGAGACATGTGTGCAGATATCTAAAAGGGAATAATATAGAGTTTGGGCTTGCCCAAAACCATCAGATCTGGCCCGTTCCTTGGAGGATTCTAGAAGGATAATGTTAGGTGGGATTTCCTTAATTTAAGGGAGGTGGGTTAGGTGGGAATCAATCCTAGCCCTTCATGTAAAACGATATTGGCCATTGATTGAGAGGGAGCTCAACTATAAATAGAGAGCTCTCCTCCTCATTTGTAATTACCCAATTCCATTCTTCTCTTTGTGAGAGAGTAATATAGCTCTGAGGCATTTGCTCTATTCTTTCAGAGTTCTTTAGTTCTTTATTCTTTGTTCTTGTTGCCTATCTTTATGGCCAGGAGTAGCCACACTCGTGTTAGCTCTTCCACACGATAGTCCAACCTTGTGGCTCGAAGTAGCCACGTTGGTGTTAAAAGCTTCCATAATTTGAAGCCTTGAGGGCTTGGTTCCAACCTTTTTGAGTTTGCACGCTCACTAGGCTTGGGTAAGGCTTACTTAGTCGTCGAGAAGATCGAGGAGCGTCTGAGGCCGCACGACCCGTCAGACCTTAACTCTGATATCCCGACGGTTTGAGGCATCGAAGTTTTGAGGGCGTGACAATAAGCTTTGAATTTGAGTTCGCAAAATGGATTTCCTGTAAACCAAAATTCACTCCATACTTGCAATTAAAAGCCCAGACTTTCATTTGAACCTCCGTCACAACCATAATTCCAAGCTTTAACAAATAAATACTTGGGTACTTAAAAATAAATAAATTAATTAATTAATTAATAGACAGAAAAATAAAAATAGTAAAAAAGAAAATTGATCAAAATAATAAAAATGAGTTGTCTCCCATTAGAGAGCTTTTGTTTAACATTGTTAGCCCGATGACTTGATTTAGACTACAAGTTCTTCTATAATGATTTCATCGACTACACAAACTTGGTGATTCTCATAGTAAGGCTTTAACCGCTGACCATTCACCTTGAAACAAGTTTCCAATTCATCTTGAATTTCAACTGCATCATATGGGAAAACTCGAGTTACGGTAAAAGGTCCTAAACACTTTGTTTGGAGTTTGCCTGCAAAAATTTTCAACTTAGAATTAAAAAAACAACACTTTTTACCAAATATAAAAAGATTTAAAAGAAATTTGAAATTATTTCCCCTTATCTTGGCAAATCCGGGCACTGTCATAAGTGTTCCTTTGTATTTATTCAAGCTCCTGAATATGAAGTTTTCGAGTTTCGCCAACTGAATCCCTCTCCATGTTGCACCACTTCTAAAGGCCATATCGACATATTAATTCTCCTAGAAGCGACCAAATTATATATCAAACCAAGAACCAATATTAGTAACTTTGTCGAAGTTTACAACAACGACGCCAATATAAGAAACGTCAAATTTCCCAAATAAATAAATACTTTAATCTCATATAAATAATGAAATTAGTATAGAAGAGTAGAGGTCAATCCACAAGGACAAAGGAAGTTTGATAAATTTACTTGTTTTTGGTCTTTGGATTTTAAATGCAAAAGCAAAAATGGGGGTTTAAAAATAATTAAATAAATAAATAGTAAAAATAAATAATGAATAAAAATGATGAGAAATAAAATAAAGTAAATAAGGTATTAAAATTTCAATTTAGATGATATAGCCTTATGCTTTTCTTAGCCTCAAGAAAAAATAGTTTTCAAATCAACATGCACTTTTTGAGTTGAAGATGTAGTAACTTTTTAGGAAATGACAGATTGTTACTCTCAGTTTTCAGAGAATCAAATAATACAATCTGAAGCTATGAAGAACAAGACTAAATTCTCATTATTAGAATTAAGCTTCATATAACCTTTGACTAAGTGGAGTTTAGCTAAGCATAGATTGGATCATGCTTAGCATTTTGAAAATAAAATAATGAAAGAAAATTGGAGATGAAAGAAAAGTAGAAATTTAATAAATAAACAAGAAAAAATAAATTCTAATATGTTTTTCAACTATTGAACCTAAACGATATTTATAACCCGAGAGTTTTCAGTAAATAAAATAACTAATTCCTAAATAAAAGATAATGATAGATAAAATAATCAAATTAAAAATCATATCGAGAAGTTCTATGTAAATAAAATAATTAGTTTGTTAATAATAATAAAATAATCATATTAAAAATCCTAAATTTAAAAGGTTTATCAAAAAGATAAAAATAAATATTTAAATCTTATACTTTTGGTTGAATTCTACCTCATCTTCTAGATAACCTTATCTTAGATAAATTTCAAATTAAATATTCAATAAAATTATATTCACTTTCTAGAAGATTCTACTAAACCGTTGAAATTTATTGATTTTTTAATTGTAAAAAAATGTAATATTCAACACTTTTTAATTAAAGTAATTAAAATAAAAGTTTTACATTCTATAATCAATTAAAATTTCATACAAATCTAATTCGTATATTAATTTTAACTCTTTTGACTAATAGTATACAACTAGCTTGTACCATTTGATTTGAGGGTTAAGCTTATTTTAATTTATTAAAATTATGACTAAATTAATAGAATATATAAGTAACAATGATTAAATGTGTAATTATACTAAATATTCTAACTGTCACATCAGCTTTTTCGTTAAATATTAACGGCAAGTGACTTAATTGAATGTATGTAAATAGTTAAGTGATCTAATTGATAAAATTTCAAAAAAGATAATCAAAATAAAAAGAGACAATAATTAGGTAGTCATCAATATATTTTATCTTTTATTTTAAATTTTTAACTAATTCAAAATTATATATAGAGCCTTTTAGAATATTAACGATATTCATCTAATAATACTTATCAATACTCCTGGAGCATGACATACTCTTTTCTTTACCCATATATTATCGCATAATTTGACATGGAACATAAACAACTTTAGAAGCATCTGGACAGCGGGCTAAGTCACGTCTCTGGACAACCCACACCTTCACCTAACCATTTGGTCCATCTCAGTAAAAGAAGCACCGTACTAAAGCAATGGCATTTTAAGGTCGCTGACCCCAGCAACTGCCATAGCCGCTGCCTCTGCTCTTCCAGCGGCCTTCTCTTTCTCTTCTTCTTCTTCTTCTTCTTCTTCTTCTTCTTCTTCTTCACACCTTCTCCCACTGCTCTTAACATGGATTCTCCCCCTTCTTATCACAACCCATCTCAGGTTTGGTACAGAATTGCTAATTTTGAGCACTACCCTTTTATTTTCACGTTAAATCTATTATCTTTAACTATGTTTGATCATTTCTAATCTTCAATTTGCAGGAAAGCGGGTCCTTGCCTGACGTTCTTGTAAGTTAGCATCTTGATAGACCTTATTATCCTATAGATTGAATGCTTATTGTTGATTAATCCTTATATTTTGTTGACATGCTAAAAAATTTGGGTCTTTTATTTTGGTATCAGACTGAGTATATGGTTGACATGAAGTGTGAAGGTTGTGTTAACGCGGTCAAGAATAAGTTACAAACAATTGATGGTAAGGCGACAATAATAATTTCGTGCATGATTAATCTTTCTAGGGTTTTTAAAGGATATTCTTTGAATGTTGTGTGATTTCGTGTTTTCTTTTGTTCATAAATACAAAGGAGTCAAAAGTGTGGAAGTGGACTTGAGCAATCAAGTGGTGAGGATACTTGGTTCTTCTCCTGCGAAAACCATGACTGAAGCATTCAAGCAGATTGGTCGAAATGCTAGGTTAATAGGCCAAGGCGTGCCAGAAGGTTTGTCAAATCTAACTTTTTTTTATAGCTCAAATATTTGTTGCTTGCCCACATATATGCATGTTGGCGTCAAACAGAAAGCAAAGTAGTAGTTTTCATTGGAATTTCATAATTTATGCTCAGTTCAGCTTCTTGGGGGAACTCCCTGAAATTTAGAAATGTTCTGTTAATTGTTATAATTATTTGTAGGTCTACTTAAATGGTACCATTTCTAAATAAATTGAGCAGAAGCTGCCTCCTATCTATTCTTAGAGCTTTCAGTGAATAAATAATAAGGAATTAGTATTTACTTAAAGATTTTAAAGAGGCTTCTTTACAGCACATTTCTGAGCATGCTATTCATGCCATTGAATAAATTCTTTACCCCTTGTCAGCAAATAAACCGCATTTTCTCAAATTATTGCCCTTGTCCTTTTGCAGAGTTTTTAGTTTCTGCAGCTGTTTCTGAGTTCAAAGGCCCCAAAATTTTTGGAGTAGTTCGATTGGCTCAAGTGAGTATGGAACTGGCTAGGATTGAAGCCAATTTTAGTGGTTTGTCACCAGGGAAACATGGTTGGTCAATTAATGAATTTGGTGATCTAACAAGAGGTGCTACAAGTACAGGGAAAGTGTTTAGTCCACCAATTGGAGGAACTGCTGAAGAGGTTTTTTCCCCAACTTCGGTCCTGGATTTCATATTTCTTTTTCTTACCTAAATCATCATCTGACCTCATACTTTTCCCTTTTCATGTGTTGTTTATGTCACTTTCATTCTCCCTCTGTATGTGTGTCAGTGTAATTTCATTTTGTAATCATGAAGTGCACGTATGATATTCCAAGTACCTATCTGGTCGGGACAACTAAAAGAAAGGGCGTGGTCGACCATAAATTTTAATTTCCATAATGACTGAAAATATGTTTAAAAAACCCAAGTGTTCTGATCTTGTCCTGTAGACTTCTTTATTGAGAAACTGAATATAACAGGCAAAGTTGTGGAAGATTACTATTTTCTGTAAAGGAGTTGATACTTATATTTAACCAATTCTTATAGCTTTGTCTCAACAGTTATGTGTATATGGACACCTTGATTGGATCTTGTCAGATTTATTTTTCTCTTGAAAGATTTTCCCATACATATGGAATGTTTTCTCTTTTGTTTTATATTTGTTTGATCATAAGCCAGTGTCTCGATGTCCACTCTGTCAAACCGTCATGTTTACTTTCCATTCCTTACCCTTGTCTTTGTTTTTCAGCCGATTGGCGACCTGGGAACTTTAGATGTAGATGAGAATGGTAAGGTTTTTCACACTTGTGTCAAACAGCAACTCATAGTTGGCGATCTCATCGGGCGGTCAGTAGCGGTATACGAGACTGAAGATAGATCAGATCCGGGTCTGGCAGCTGCAGTGATTGCCCAAAGTGCTGGGGTTGGGGAAAACTACAAGAAGATATGTGCATGTGATGGCACCATCTGGGAAGCCACTGACAAAGATTTTGTCACTAGTAAGGTCTGAGGGTTTATGGAAGTTAGTTATAGGTACTTGTAGTTGCACTTTGTATGTTACTAGCATTTTTATGTACACAGTTTCTTGTCGTCTTAATGACTTATAGGAACGATATGAGAAACAGAGTTGATAATCTTTCCAATAAAATTGATGAGCACTAAGCTTCAATTCCAATGGCCTTTAATTAAAGGCCAATTGTCAAATATTAGCTGTCTGACATGTTTACTCTGAATACGTTTTCTCTTGATTGATGAAAGCTTGCATCACCCAAATTGCTTGAAAAACTTATGAAATTATCTAAAATCTCTTAATCTTTTCTTATTCTTTGTGTCAAATAATATAAACAAAGCTCTAATTTCACAGTTAAGCTGCGAGAAATTAGTAATCAGAACTAGTTTAAGTCCACCTGAACAAGTTGGGAAGACAAGAAAATATAGGCGATGACGAAGAACACTAATATCCATAGACGGATGCAGGAATTTATGTAAGAGGGTGTGAACTTAAGAGGTTATATTAGAAATTTTAAGGAGTGCGAAACTATAAAATTTTAGGGGGTGCGAAATTAGATAATTAATAGAAAATACAAAGAAAATCAGTATAAAATATAAAGAAAAAAAATGAAATTTAAGGGAATTTCAAATTTTCAGGATGCGACCATACCCGCACAGTCCATACCTGCTGATATCACTACTATGCAAGGGCAAATAGAAGTTATACAAAGCAAAGCTACATCAACATAAGAATCAAATGGACTTACCTTCAAGTGGAAAAGGCTGAGATCTAGTTTGATGGTTGTGTTATGCAAAAACAAGAAGTTACTTGGCAAGAATTTGTCGTGGATATATGCCATAGGTTCTGTAATAAGACATGCTGATACTACTCAATAACTCAATAAAATTGGCAACATAATTCAATGGAGGAGTGTAACATCCCTAAAACCTTCTAGTGATTTTTCGGCTTCCGATGATCGGAATTCTAATTTCCGTTATTCAAATTAAGATTTCAAAACATTAGTATTAAATTCAGAATAATTTTAAATATTTAAGGTCTAATTTTAAAGTTTTATGATTAAAGACAAAAATGCAAGAAATGTTAAATTTGAAGCTTGGATTGTAAGCAAAGTTTGAAGGCCCATTCATGTGCATGTATTTGTTAAAGGGCCAAAGCCTTAATTTACCCAAAATCTATAAGATGATGATTCACCATCCAGGTGGTCATTCTATGCTAATTTAGTCATTTTCCTTTTAATTAGTCTCAATTAATACAAGGTAGTATTTGTTCAAACTCAACCATTTGACATAGAACGTTTATATCTCTGCGTACGTGGTGCTCAAGCTTAGGAGTACAAAGGATAAAAAGAATCACTTAACCACTGAGATCACTTGATTCATTATTAGTCATTTTCTTTATTTAATAAAATTACTATTTTATCTTAAATTGACTAGTAACCCACGCCATTTACCATTAGGAGGAGAGTGAAGATTTTCCATTCTTAAACCTAGTGCCTTTCCTCCCTTGAACAGTCTTTTTCAAGCATTCAAAATAATCCAAGACCAAAGTATTCACCATTTAGCCATTAACTTTGAGGGTTTGTGTAATTAGAGACCCTAAATTCTAATAGGATTAATTCTAAGCTTCATGGTGATTTTTCCATGTTTTTTAGGGCTTTGGAACATCAAGGCCTAATCATTTGAAAATTAGGGTTTGTGTTAATTAGTCAATTTGATATAATGTGTTTCCAATGTTTGATTAATGAATTATATGTATAATTTTATGCTTGACATGAAATCAATCGAGCAAAATCCTAATCAGAAGGGAGAATCAAGCTTTCAGGATTAGTATGATGATCTGGAGTGTACAATGATTATAGTTTGTATGTTCAAGTGATTAGGTGTCATTTTGATTCTATGTTTTTAACAATTGTTATAGGTGAGTTCTGTAACACCCTAATTTGATATGAGCCGATGATCGACGAACAAGAGTATTACACGGGACCACCGAAGTGACTAACTCAAAAATTTTCTTTAAAACATTTGTAAAACAACGTTAAAATTATACGGAGAAATCTTGATTATAATATCATCTATTTAAGCAAAACAAGAAATAGTAAAAGAGTTTAAGTTTACAATGAGGAGCTCCCAAATAACATCATAGTGTTTAAAACAAAATAGAGTTACAAAAGTAATAAGGAGGTCTATGAAATGTACATGCCCTCTAAACACGACTCATGGTGTGGTCGGAGGGTTCTGCATCTCAGGATGCATACCCTTCATCCTACCTAAAATACCCTTGGGTATCTGGGGTAAGATCCGGAACTATATCAGAAATATACCCCTGGCTAGCTCACTCTTGAAAGTCTTGGGGCATCTGCGCCCAACCAACAATTGAAGTGCCTTACACTAGCTGAGAAATACATGGATACCCTAACACGCTAGAAGAATGTCATACTGCTAAAGTAACTCGGGTGTCCTGGTTGATTCCCAAGCATATCATAATGGCTAGTTTTATGTTATCTTAACTAGTAGTGTTTCTAGTTGTAACTGTATTCATTATTGTTCTCACTTGAAGTGTTATTCAGTGAAGTTCTAATGTTGTTAGGCCCCTTTCTCACACCCCTTAATTAATTGGGTTTCGTGCCCAATTCAGTATACTAGTATTGATACTAAGCCCTTTAGTATATATATTGACCATTGAGTATCGATACCCACCCTTGGTACCGATACTAAAAATGGCTATTGGAATCTGAAGAAATTGGAGACTATTGATACCCTTAGTTATAGTATTTGTACTTCTAAAATGGGGTATTAATACCACCCTAAGTATCGATACCAAAATTTGCTTCGATGTTTTGAAATTTTAATTCAATATTGATACCCTACATTTATTATCGATACTCCCATGAGTACCGATGTAACACCCTAAACCAGTACGACACATAGTCGACCAATTAGGGTGTTACACGGAACCATTGGAGTTGCTGACCAACTTATTTCTTCTTTTTCTTATCTTAAAACAACCATTTTCTTTAGAAAATAAACTATAAAAATATAATTAAAACTGTACATTGGGGAGCTCCCAAAATAAATAATTTACATTAAAAAATAATAATACAAACCAACTTTAAAATACATTTATGACTCAACTTTACAACAGGGTTTATAAATATACATGCCCTTCAAAATGCTAAGACGTACTTTGATATGCATTGGTCTGAACCTCAGTCTCTCTAAAGCTCCTCAGCTACTCTACCTAATCTGCTTAAGGAAACAAATTCCAAATGCTGAGCTAACTAACTCAATGCCACACAAACAACTAATCATACTAATTGTATATCACTTAAAGGCTCAAGCTATCAAGTCTACTGCTTTTCTTTAGTGAGTATGCTTGTCTACTCACTCTCTACTCTATGGTGGACATCATGGTGTGGCTGAAGGCTCTGCATCTTGGAGCTCACAAACCTCTCTAGTCTACTAAAAAAGGCCCTTGGAATTCTCTACATCAGACACCATACCCTTGACTAACCCACCCCTTACGAGTGTCAGGCCTTCGCCTTAGTTAGTCAGCTTAAAGTGCCTTGCGCACTCCCTAAGAATATATACGAACTGAATCTATACTTGCAACTCCATTAGCTTTTCTAAAGGAACTCGGGTGTCCCGATAGCGTTTCCTGAGCATTCAAACAAGGCTAGTCTTATTTCTCCTAAATTTATTTCGTTTCTATGTGTGAATTAAACATTATTACTTTTCTCACTTGTAGTTTTATTTTGGGAGTAATTAAAAGCTTTTGGAAAACCTCACTTGCTTCTATATCTCCTCTTGAATTAAAGCCCAAATCTTAACCTTGGTATCGATACTGGCCTTACAGTATCGATACCCCCTCCTCAGTATCGATACCCAACACAAGGTATCGATACCCCAGCTAAAATAACTTGAAATAAGAAAGGGAGTGTCGATACTCATAGGGGAGTATTGATACTAGGACCTTGGATATCAAAACTCCCTAGAGTACTGATACCAAAATAGCCTACTGGACTCCAATGTCGATACTCCTTTAAGGGGTATCGATACTATTCCTTAAAATTCTTAATTTTAAGCTTCCCCATGCAGTATCAATACCAACCCTTAAAATACCCTATTTGGGCACAAATTTTCCCCTTTAACTCCCTAGATTTCATACCTTAAGGTTTCCCAATTAGTTATTAAGTCTTATGTGATTATAGGGGTCATAAATAGGTTTTAGGACATGATAAAATAACTTTAATAAGCATTTACCATGGAAATATACTCAACATGCTTAAATATTAACTTTCTAGCTAAAACTTATTTCTAATGATCTATAACGGATATGAGGAAACTGTGAGTGTGTTACCTGACTTTATTGGCTGCTTGAATCCGTCTCCCACTTCCTTAGCTAAACAAAGGTAAGAATAGAGAATATTACTTATCTAAGACTTAAAACAAGGTTAAGGATAATCCAAACAACTCAAATTTACTAGAATAAACTTGAATCCTTTGAATTTCTTAACCTCCCTAAAACTCATTTTCTAAAATCTTACCCAAAACTTAAGATTTAGGGCTTGGATTAAAGTTTGAGGGATAGAAATTAAAACTCTTACCTTGATTACTTCTAACTAGGCTTGGAATTTGGAAAGCTTTCTCCTTTAAGCTTACTCTTAGGAAGGAAAAGGAGATAGTTTTATGGGTTTAGTTCCCATGTGAAATCCCCTTTAAGGGGTTTCTATTCTTCAATTTGACAAATAGGTAAACTACACTTTTTGTCCCTCACCTTTAAACCAATTCTAAAATAACCATTTACCCTTAACTCTTAGGCATACCTTAGGCCCAGAACTCTTAAGAACTAGTCTAAACTGGCTTTTGAGATCTAATGGGTTCAACTGACGGGTTTCGAGTTGACCCAAACTATTGACCCGAAATTCAAGATATTACAACCGATATCAAAATAGGCTACTAGAATCTGTAAACTAAACATGGTATGGATACTCCAACCTTGAGTATCGATTCCCAATAAGTAATATCAATACCCGATGAACAAGTATCGATACCCCCATCCTAAAACCCCTTATTTTAGGCTATTTGAAGAACATTATCGGTACTATTCTTCCAATATCGATATTTAAACCTAGAAATACTCTGTTTGAGCACGAAAATGATACCCCATTTCCCCCAAACATCCCACTGAGGTTCCCAATCATTATTTAAGTCTTATGTATGTTAAAAGGGGTCATGATAAGCCAATAATCATGAAAAACACCATACACTGAAATCCAGCATGAACATGCTTACAAGCTTAATAGCATATGCAAAACTACCAAACACATATAGTGATCTACAGGTGGAAGAGATGAGTTATAAGTTGTTACCTTGAGTTTCTAAGCTGTTGGAATACTTCTCTACTCAACCAAGGGCTAGCTTTTCATTTCCTTTGCTTTTAGAGTTTTCTCCAACCTCTCTTACCAAACAAAGATCAAAGAATGAGTTACTAACTGATTTAAGAAGTTAAGAAAACTTTATAAGGCTTAATTCCAAAAAAAAAATTAGATTGGATGGCTAAGGTTTCTTAAACCCCGACTAAACCCCTCTCTATGGTCATCATGACCAAAGTACGAGATAGGGGTAGAAACTGGGCGGGGTGGGGATAGTTTTGCATTACCCATTCCATCCCCAACACTTGCAAGTACGGTTTTGGGGAATCCCCATTATATATTTCAGGGATTTTTTATCCCCATACTCATCTGTTATGGATCCCTGGGGGTTTCAGTTAATCACATCCCCAAAAAATAAGCAAACATTTTTTAAATCAATACAACACCTAAAACTTGTAAGATATATCATATTGTCTCAAATTGGTCTCTATCTATAATATGAAAGTTTCAAACGTTAATAATCATCTAACACTCAATGTATATACAAGCTTAACCATTTTCAATCTTAACAAATCAATGTACATTAAATGAGAAAATATCTGAACTTTAATTTTAGTTCCTTTGAGATGTAACAATGGCAAATTTTTTGAGGATCCCCATGATTATTTTTGTAAAATATCAGGAATCCCTATGATTATTTTTTAGGGATCCCCATAATTATTCATAAGGGTACGGTTCGGTTATCCCCACGGTTCGAATATAGCAATCTCCGTCCCCATCCATATTTGAGCTTAGAGGATAAAACTTCCCTCATCCCTATTCTGTGCGTAAAGATTTCAGTTATTCCCTATCCTCGTCGGTTAGAATCCCCACGGTTTTTTGTTTTCCCCCACTTGTCTGCCACCCCTATCTCGAGTGAAAGCTTAAGATGTGGATATTTTGATTCTTATATATTATAAAACGTCTAAAGCTTCTGACAATCCAAAGTTCTCACCTTTGATGTTTTTAAGTTGGGAAGAAAATGAGAGAGATGAAGGGAGAATATGACAAAATGAATGGGAAAGAAAAGAGGTTATATCATGTGACCTCATAGAAATTAAACGATTTTAGCTTTTTAAAATAAAAATGGATAAATTACTTCTTGAGTCCTTCAAGCTTTGGTCATAAACCAAAAATGCCCTTTTTAAGGAAAGAAAATTAGAGAGATTAAGGGAGAATATGACAAAATGAAGAGGAAACAAAGGTTCTATCGTGTGACCTCATGGAAATTAAAGGATTTTAGCTTTTTAGAATAAAAATGGGTAAATTACATCCTGAGTCCTTCAATCTTTGGTCACAAACCAAAAATACCCTTTTTAACTTCAATTGAGCTCAATCCAAGACCAATTCCACTCAAACTTGGACTAAGTCTTCCTATAACCTAATGGATTTATCCAAGGCCCTCTCGGGTTAAACCGAAACTCCTAACTGGGATTTGAAGTTTCATGTCTTTCTCAACTTCCCAGGTTGCCTCCTAGGCACCATGGTTCCTCCACAAGACCTTCACCAATGGAATCCTCTTGTTCCTTAACTCCTTAATATCCTTCGATAAGATTATGATAGGTTCTTCTTTGTAGTTCATGTCTTACTTCACCTCTATCTATTCTAAGGTTATGACATAGGAAGGCTTATAACTATATCTCATGAGTATGTATACATAGAAAACGTTCCAATTCTGGCAGTAAGGCCAATCGGTAAGACACTAGTCCAACCCTCTCTTGTACTTCATAAGGTCCTATGAAACATAGGGTCAACTTTCCTTTGCACTTAAAACAAAGTACCTTCTTCAATGGGGAAACCTTAAGGAACACCTTATCCCCTATTACTAACTTAATACTTACACTTGAGGTCTACGTAAGATCTGTCTATCAAAGGCTTTTTTTAACCCACCCTAAATTAATTAGACATTCTCTTTGATTTTTCGGATTAAGTCGGGACATACTATCTTACTCTCGCTGAGCTTTGTCCAACATAATGGAGTCCTACACTTGTGCCCATACAAGGCTTTATATAGAGCCATTTGAATAATCGACTCAAAGTTGTTATTATAAGTATACTCCACTAACGATAGATGGTCTTCCCAACTACCCTCAAAGTCTATAATGGTGAACCTAAGAATGTCCTCCATGATCTGAATGACACATTCTGACTGGCCATCTATATGACAATGGAATGTGGTGCTAAAGAGTGGTTTGGTGCCTAAGGCTTTAAGGAGCGCTTTCTAAAATCAGGAAATGAAACGTAGGTCTCTATCGGATATAATAGAAGTCAGTACCCTGTGCAAACTCACTATGTCACGGATATACAGCTGAGCTAACCTCTCTAAGGTATAGTTCATCCCAACTAGAAGAAATAAACTTACTTTATAAAGTGGTATATTATCATCTAAACTATGTCATGTCTCTGTCTGGTCATTGTTAACTCGGCCACAAAGTCAATGTCACCCGATCCTATTTTCACTAAGGTATCTAAATATTCTAAAGTAGCCCTGAAGGAACATGATGTTCTACATTCACCTGCTGACACGTTAAGCATCTAGCGACAAACTCAACCACTTTTATTTTCACGTCTGTCCACTAATACAATTGTTGAAGCTCATGGTACATCTTATTACCGCTAACTAAGTTGTTACGAAATGATGTATTGTTTGTTTGGACATAGAACTACCAAGAAAGTTTTGAAAGGCTTAAGAGAATAGTAACAGAGGCCCTTTTTCTTGTACAACCGGAGCCAGGTAAAGATTATGTAGCTTTCAATGATGCATCCCATAATGAACTGGGGTGTGTACTGATGCAAGATGGAAAAGTTGTGGCTTATGCCTCAAGACAATTGAAGAATCACGAGAAAAATTACCCGACCCACGATTTGGAATTGCCAGCAGTTGTGTTTGCCTTGAAAGTCTGGCGTTATTATCTGTATGGTGAGCAGTGTCATATTTATACGGATCACAAGAGTCTAAAGTATATGTTGAATAAGAAAGAACTGAACTTGAGGAAAATAAGATGGATCAAGCTTTTAAAGGATTATGATTTAATTATTGATTATCATCCCTAAAATGCAAATGTGGTAGTGGATGCACTTAGCCGAAAGACTTTTACCGTTCTACGGGCTTTGGATGTGCATATGTCTTTAAAGGAAGATGGTGTCTTGTTTGCTGAACTTAAGTTAAAGTCGATGCTTTTAGATCGGGTAAAATAACTGTAAGGTTAAGATGAGAACTGCTTGGCGAGGATGGCACAAATAGAAAAAGAAGAAACCACAGATTTCGAAATGAGGGCTGATAGTTATTTATATTATTGGGGAAGACTTTATATTCTCGATAATGAGGAATTGAAGAAAGATATTCTGATCGAGACACATTGTAGCCCTTTCACGATACACCCAGGTGGGAATAAGATGTATCAGGATTTAAAAAGTTGTTATTGGTGGCCTGGTATGAAAAGAATTGTATCAGAGTTTGTGGTAAAATGTTTGACATGTCAGCAGGTGAAAGCTGAACATCAAGTGTCATCTAGATTGTTACAACCGATATCCATTCCTGAATGGAAATGGGAACGAGTTACAATGGATTTTGTTTCGGGGCTACCCTTTTCACCAGGTAAAAAGGACTCCATATGGGTAATTGTAGATCAATTGACCAAGACATCTCATTTTATTCCAGTTCGAGTAGATTACTAGATTGATAAGTATGCAGAGTTGTATATAAAAGATAGTTAGACTACATGGAGTGACGATATCAGTAGTATCCGATCGAGACTCAAGGTTTACTTCAAGATTCTGAAAGTCATTACATGAGGCATTGGGTACTCAATTGAACTTCAGCATAACTTTTCATCCGTAGATAGATGGGCAGTCAGAACGAGCTATCAAGATACTAGAAGATATACTAAGGGCATGTGTGATTGAGTTTAAAGGAACATGGGAAATGTATTTGCCTTTAGCGGAATTTACGTATAACAACAGTTACCAATCGAGTATTAGGATGACCCTGTATGAAGTTTTATATGGGAGAAAGTGTCGAACACCATTAAATTGGTTTGAACTAAAAGACCGAAACCTAGTTGGCCTGGATTTGATTAAAGAAATGGAGAAGAAAGTGAAAATTATTCAGGGCAATCTAAAGATAGCCTCCGATCGAAAAAAGTCTTATGACAATTTGAAAAGAAAAGAAATTGAATTTCAAGTGAGAGATAAGGTGTTTATGAAAGTATCGCCTTGGAAGAAGGTATTGCGATTTGGGCGAAAATGATAGTTGAGTCCGAGATTCATTGGACCTTATGAGATCTTAAAAAGGGTTGGACTCGTAGCTTATCAATTAGCATTTCCTCCGGATATTGACAAGATCCACAATGTTTTCCACGTATAGATGCTTAGAAGGTACAAATTAAATTCATCCCATATCATCAAGCCTGAAGAGATAGAAATCTGACCATATTTAACTTATGAGGAGGAACCAATACGGATCTTGCTAAGGAAAACAAGGAATTGTGCAACAAAAGTATTCCGTTAGTTAAAGTGTTCTGGCAGAATCATAAGGTAGAAGAAGCTACTTGGGAAAGAGAGGAGGACATGAGGAATCAATTTCCAAACCTCTTCATTTCAGGTATTTCTTTAAATTCGATGATGAATTTTCTTGAGGGTTTAATTTAATAAATGTTAAAGTATAAGGAATGACTTGAGTATAACCAATTAGTAAGAAAAAGATAATTGAAAGGGCATTTTGGTACTTTGGAATGAAATGAAATTAAAACTTCTTTTTAAAAGAATAGGGATTTAAGAAAAAGGGGAAAGTAAAAGATTTAGCTAAGTTACTTACTCCTCTTCTTCTTCCTCCCTTGGGTTGTGCCCTCCTCCATATAAAAGGTAAATTTCTTTCAACTAGTTCTTTATTCCAATTTTGGTTTGCTCTTGTAACATTAAGTGATATGTAAGTCTAAGGATGGGTTAAAGAAGATTAAAACTAATATGTGGAAGTTTTATTTGAGATTTAGGGAAATAGGTTTTTGAATGATATGTTGATATATTAGTTTTTATTGAGGTTTATTAGTATACTTGACTTGGTAAAGGAGTGAATAAGAGATTAGAAGTATTGCATATGATTAAAACATGTTAGAAAAAAGTGGTATGATTCTTAGTTTGAGATATTATTTGGATATTTTAAATGTTATAAGAATCTAAATGAAGGAAAGTTAGTTGGGTTAAGTAAAGAAGAGTTTAATAGTACTGTTGGAGGTAAAAGTAAGAGATTTAAGGGAAAAGTTAGTAAATGCTGAAAAATGGTAAATCTGGGTAGGGTATCGGTACTGGAAGAACAATACCGATACTATAGTTTTAAATGGGTAGAAATGCGAAGAATAGTATCGATATTGATGCAATTAGTATCGATACTGATAAGGTATCGATACTAAAAGGAAAGTATCGATGCCATGGATTACAGAATGCCAAAATGGTATCGATACTGAAAGAGAGTATTGGTACCATAGTATAAAAGTATTGATACCATGGTAAGGGTATCGATACTATTGAGCCTGGAATTATAAGATAGGTTGAAATTGTTATAGAAATTGAAATAATAGTATTTTTGAGTATTATTAAAGTATAAATGTTAGGGAATATACTAATATTTGGTATGGTATGTGTCTTTAATGGATGCTTGTGTAGATCATAACCAAGCTCCTGAAGCTAGCAAGAACAAGGGTAAAGATAAAGTTGTTGAGTAACCAGCCATCATTACATTTTATTAGCGAGGATTGTCAGGTGAGTACATTTATTGTATTTATTTTAGATGAAAAAGATTCGCAATGATTCAAATTAGAATGTTTAATTCAATGAATGTTTTATGGTATTCAATATGTTTTTTATTACATACATGAAATTCATAATGGTGCATTAAAGGCATGAAAGGATGCCATAAATGAAATGCATAACGGTGCATTAAAGGCATGAAAGGATGTCATAAATGAAATGCATAACGGTGCTTTAAAGGCATGAAGTGATGCCATAAATGAAATGCATAACGGTGCATTAAAGGCATAAAAAGATGTCATAAATGAAATGCATAATGGTGCATAAAATGCATGAAAGGATGTCATAAATAAAAATGCATAACGGTGCATTAAAGGCATGAAAAGATGTCATAAATGGAAATAATGAATAATTACTAAAGAATAATGAGAAAAATGTACAGAAAGAAAGGTATGATGAACATACTAAGAATGTTATAATGATAGTATGAAAGAAATATGGGTTAGATAATAGGAACTTATCTAATCCTTATGGATGACACTAATTATTTCGAAACCAAATAATCATGATATACTTATGTATAAATTAATGTTTCTTTAAAATATTATGTTTCACTAAATAACTATTTAACATGTGTTGATTTCACGCGTAGGTGAAGGCAGAGATTAGCCAAGTAAGGAGTGCAGCAGTAGTAGAAGCTATCATCAATTAAGGTTGACTCGTCAGTAACAATAGGACAATCCAATTTATTTTGAAAAACTTAGTTGGCATGTTATTAAAGTACAAAAAATGCTTTGAATTGTATTTAAGTAGAACCTCGAAACAAATTCTAATTAATGTTTTGTTGTAAATAAAACAAATGTTATGTTTTAAGAAATCTTGAAATAAAATTTTATGGGTTTTCAATTGAGGAAATATTTTTCAAGTGATGTGAAATATGTATCTCGTGTACGGAAAGGTATACGAGAGATGGGCGTTACATTTATTATTGGAACCCACAAACAAATTTGGATAAATAATCCAAGGATTAAGGGATCAGACTCGAGGTACCCCATATACCCAGTATAACAACAAATAAGACTTCAAGCGATAACAATAATTAATATCACAACAGTAGAAACAAAAACAACTAGATTTACATAAACTAGCCTTGTTTGATGCTCAGGAAATAGCCGAGACACCAAAGTCTCTTTTAGCAAAATACAATAGTCAGTGGATATACAAGTCAGTGCCAAGGCACTTCAGTAGCCGAGTGGGCGCAGAAGCCTCAAGACTCAACAGAGTAAGTTGGCAGGTGTACGTTTCCAATGCAGCTCCAGATCTTACCTTAGATACCTGAGGGTATCTCAGAATGTCTAGAGGGGTGTTCGAGCTCCGAGATGCAAAACTCTCAGCCACACCATGGTGCCTAATGAGTATTTAAATCAATATCTTTGCAAATTCAAACTTGTGCCACCAGTTATCTCATTTAGTGAATGCATGTAGTTCTGTACAGTTATTAGTGAGGCACTAATCTCGTAAGCTCAACGTTCAGAATGTGTTTTCGTGTGCAGATTCTTAGGGGCATATCGTGGGGAATTATCATCACCAGACATTCTATTGCAGCAATACAGACCAGTCAGACCATCAGAGTATTTCTTGAGTCATCTTTAGAGGGCATGTACTATTTATGGACCCTTGTGTATTAAGTCGTATCTTTGAATTGTATTTGGTACTGTATTATTTTGAGATATATTTTGGGATCTTCCCATTATTTGTAAACCCAGGTTATCACGTTTTTATTACTATGGATGAATTATTTTCAGTGATTGTAAACATTTAAAAAAAACAAATTTGCGTCACTATTTCGGAAGTCCCGTGTAACATTATAATCTATTGATCTTTGGGTCAAACTGGATTAGGATGTTAGATATTTCATGATTTTATTGCTTGGAAGATTGAATTCATTAATAGGGTGGATGAGAAACAAGTTGGAGTTTAATAATTTAAGGTTTGATTTTGATATAGTTAATGTTGTTGAGTTGTTTCCAAGCATGTATGATGAATAAATCAATTGGAAAGGCTTATGTTAAATTCGACCATGCTTAGGGTTTTAGGAGAAAATTTAAATTGGATTGTTTTTTAACTGGGTTTGATTGAGATTGCATGGAAATGATGATAAGAGCTTGAATTCATGCTTGAATCAAGGTTAAAATGATGCCAATAATGTATGGTTAGGTTTAGCCATAGTAAAAAGTACGGGGAAATTATGGAAATTTTCTTAATGATTAGAAATGATATTAGATTGATTCTACATGATTTGAATTATGATTTGGAACAATGTGGAAGTTTGTGAGATTTTGAGGACCTATTTGTATATTTTGTGAAAGTTAGGGATTAAAGTGCAATCGTTCAATAATTGATGTACTATGCTAAAATTAAATGTTAGAATGTTGAATGGATCATTTTGGGAATTTGATAAAGTTTGGGGACCAAACCTTAAATGATGGAAAATTTAGGTTTGAAATGAGAATTGTATTAAGGTCGATATATTAAGCTTAAATGCATTATTTGGATATTTGATTATGTTATTGATATTTAAATTTAAAGTTAATGGCAAAGGATCATTTTGAATAAAATGGAAAATTGAGATGAATTCTAAAAGAATTCATAATTAGTGGTTAAAATGTGAAGTTGAAAATATTATGCGAATTAACGATGAATATAGATAAAAACGGACTTGAATGGCCAATATGAAGTGTTAAGGTCAACATTGATATTGTGACATGAAATTAGTATCGAATGAGTATCGGAAGATTTTAGGAATTTATTTTCTATTGTGTGCCTATGTTAGTAAGATTTTAACGTGGTTTGAAATTATATGTTTTGTAAACACTGTTCATTTAGATTGTGATTGAAATCAAGATCCAAAAATATTAAAGATAAGGAGAAGCTCAATGATGAAACTTGATTTTCTAGGAAAGGTTTGCAAGCTAAGTGTACCAGGTGAGTGCATATTTAATTTGTATTTATGTTATCGAACAAACATTGGTTGCAATGAGCCAATGACGGAGTTACTATGGTAATAAGTGACTCCTAAATGTTATGTGACTTTGTGATTCATGCATATATGTTCATTTGGTAAGCTAATAGAATTAGTAAGGTAAATATGCGAAACAATGAAATATGCCTAGAATTATAATCTAGACAGTAGATTTAGAAATTAACTTTAAATTCCACAAAAAAAGATTAGAAGGTGATTCTTATACCTTTGGACTTGTATGTCAATATAGTTTTGTGTAAAATAAACATATACCTATTTCGAAGTGTATAATAAAATATATGAATTTTTAACCGTTGATAGGTCAGAAAATGGAGCAGCAAATTATGCTCAAAATAGATTTTGTAAGTTGAAATTTGCCATAAATTGTACAAGTTGAACTAAAAAAGTTGCCTTATATGATTAGATTCGTATTCGAGTCTAGTTTCTAATGGTACAAACGGAATAATTTTTGAAAGCATATATTAATACATAATAATATTTCTCTAAGGGTAGTGCAAGCTACACGAATATGAAATTGTGTTAAATCATGCATTTTATGATACTCTTATGTTATATGTTACCTTAAATGTTTGAAATGAGCCAACTTCATTACATTGGCATGATAGTTATGATATTTATTATGTAAGAATATGATGTGTATATGTGAAAAAGGAAAGTGATAAATGATGTTCCATGATATACTTATGTTATGTAGAAATGAAATGTTTAAGATATGAACTGCTCAATACACTCTTATATAATTTTTTGATATGTTAGTATCTACGAATACTTCTGATAAATGAATTGTACATGATATTGGTATAAAAAGCCCATTGTGTGTATATTGAGAGTCTTAGGTACAATTGGCATGCCATGAGATGGAGTGATTCTGATTCTGTATCTGGTATATTCGTGTACATTTGTCTGACTATATGTGCGTTTCGGGTTTCACGATATGTTGACATTATGAGTTACTATGCCTGTTTTTTTATTTCAGTATAGTGATGTTGTGTTCTACAGTGCCTATATTAATGCATGGAACCAAGGGTGCAATTTATTTCTAGCAGTTGTGACTGCATATTGCGCAGACTCGTCTGACTCACGTGCCATGTATTCTCATTTGTTATACATTGGGCTATCAGTTAAATAAATGTGAAAAGTACATGTTTATTTGATTCATTGAAAGTAAAAATTTCATCGAATATTCTGATTTGGCATAAAATACCTTATATCTAATATGTTTATTCTGATATGTGACTTTTGAAATGTTGATTTTCAAATTTCAGTTTAAAGAAAGATTTGAAAATCTGTTTCATATGTTTATATATTATTATATGATATTTTATGTATTATAAGTTATGTGATAATTTATATATCGATATGTTTTATTCTATATTTGATAATGCTTCATAAGTGAATAGTTAGCATGCGATTGTTTCACACGTAGGTAAAGAAAACGAAATTAGTAGGGATTTGGACTTGACATCAATCATTAAGGATATTCATATGTATCAGTAATGACATCCTATTAAAATTTAAATTTTCTAGTTGGAATGTATACGAATAATAAGTGTGTGTAAATTATTAATGTAGTTATGTTCTTAAATTGAATTAGAAAGGATTTGATATGTCTATAAGGTTTATGTGTGTGTATATATATATATATATATGTTCTAGTGAGTAATATATAGTTATAAATATGGTTTTTATATTGATATTCGATAAAGTTATATTTTTATTTGTATATTGATGAATTTTTATTTATACAGTTTCACTTTTTATATAAGACAATATCGAACTGTCTAGCTTCTGTCTGAAATCAAATTTAAAATGGATGTTAAATTATATTTCTATTTTATGAGATTAAAAAAAGGGTTAATTAACGATATTTTAAAGAAACAAAATTTAATTGATTTTCGATTAAAAATATTTTAAATAATTGACGTGACATCTCTAACTCATATTCGAATACATATACGAGAAAATGTGTTACACTAAACCCCGTCTTTCTTCAATCGAAGCCCCAAAGACATAAAACCACCACAAGTCGATCGTGCTTAAGGCTCCGACTACTAGCAGCGGTGGTCGAGCGACCTAAGAACCTAACCCAAATAGAACTCAAACCCTCTCATTCTTCTAAACTTGAAACAAGCCCTAGAGAACCCCTAATCGCCCATCGATGTTTGATTCTTATATTTCCAACGACGACTGCTACTCCGACGAAGGCTCAACGATTTCTAAGGTAAATCCCTAACCTCTTCTTTACTACTTTTTTCCTATTTATGCTTTGAAACTAACACGTATGAACAAATCCACACTAAAAAGGATGAATCGAGGTAAAATACATCTCAAGAATGGTTGTATTGTTTTCGAATTTTTTGGGTTTCAGGTTGCCAACTTACATCGGAGAATTTAGTGTTTTTATAACCAATTTTACAAGGGATACATTTGTAAAACTTAATGAAAACAAAAAAAAATGATTATTTGCTGATTTTCCTTCGATCTTTTCTGGCATTGCCTATAGACGAGGATTAAATGATCATCTTGGTGCTAACTGGGGGCCGACGTGGCTGTTGGGGATGTTTCATGGGTTGCTAGGACGAGAGGGACCACAGCTGGATGACTTGCGCCTTCTTTTGTGGACGAATGGACTACCATTTGGTGAGAAGTTCCTCACGTGGGAGATGAGTAGGTGGCATAGGGAACTGGCGGCGGAGAGACCTCTGCTGGGGTCGTTGGTGGCTCTTCGATCGAACGACGCGAGACTTGCTGCGCACGAGCTGGAGCAGAGTTTGAAAAGAAAACCCAAAACGTTATCTCACCAATATCGCTGCTGAGATCTACGGTAAGCATCGTGCTGTGCCAAAGGGATTGAACATAAAACCCTAGAATTGCTGGGTTTGTGCACGTGGGGCTTCCTTTACTGATTTGGGTCAATTGGATTTCTATTGGGCTTTGAATGTAGATTATTATAAAAATGGGTTAGAAAAATTGGTTTGTAAATTAAAGTACATGAACTTTTATTTTAGTGGATTTATTTACGAGTTTATATATTTTTATAATAAAGTTAAAAAAATGGTATATTATTTGGACTTAAAAAATTGGTTATTACTTACGATAATTATGAGCAAGGAATACTAATGTATGCATCTATCATTTATCATAATCATGACAGGATTTTGTATGATTTCATTGATATTGAAATATCATGTCCACTCATCCCATATGTTGCATCGAATTGAGTTTGTGAAGTAGAAAAGTAATCGATTAACATACAGTACATCCTTATTAAATGAATATCGAATAACAAGTTAGTGAACTCCTATCGTATGGTAACTCCTAATACCGAAAAATAGGTTTGTGTATTCTTGTCCATCGGTAGGGTGTACTATCAAGTAAACGTTTGAGGATGTAGATGATGCTTATATGTTTTCATCTTCTCTGATTTGGATTCTAGATTTCAATTTTGATACGCAATTTTGTTCGTAGATAATTTTTTTACAACGCTCGATTTTATATGCGATTTGTCGATGATCTTTCAATAGATTGATCCCATTTTGTGGTTAGTTTGTCGATGCTGTCACATATGTTCGTATCTACCTTTTATTCGGATTTATTTAGTTAAAATTTTTAATATTTCCTTGCATGGTCTTAATGTGATCTTAAGTAACTAGTTTATTGTGTCAATAATTATAAAATATACTTATTATGCATTTAGTTACGATTATAAATGTTTTCTATTTTTAATAAAACTAATCAGTTCTATCTTATAAAAAAATAACATTACTTTATTTTTAAATTGAATCATTCAAATAATCAATTTAACAATTAAATACATAATTAAATATTTTTCCTAGAGAAAATAATTTTTATTTAATATTTCAATTTTCAATATGAGTTATTTGGTTCCCTTGGAAAAATACAAGTTTTCATATTTGATTAAATAAAAAGGTTTTTTTAAAGAAAAAAAGAGAGAGAATATCAGTATTATCATTGGATTATTATTAAAAAAAATGTTTCAACCTTGCTTTCTTTAAACCTCATTAAACCATTTCCACTTTCCTTTTTTTTTCTTCCTGATTTTTATATATACGAAAAGGCCAGCAGAAGAGTGCTTCGGAAGGGAAACAAAGGGGAAGCAATATAAAGAGAAAAGAAAAGAGGGATTATCAAATCTCAGATCTCATAAGAGAAAAAAAAATCTGGGAAAATGGTGCAGAAATCTTTGATTTATGCATTTGTATCTCGTGGGGAAGTTATATTAGCGGAGTACACTGAATTCAGTGGGAATTTCAATTCCATAGCTTTCCAATGCCTTCAAAAGCTTCCTTTTTCCAACAAGTTCACTTACAACTGTGATGGCCACACCTTCAATTACCTTGTTGACAATGGCTACAGTTAAGTTCATCCTATTCTTTTTCAAGAAATGTAAACTGTGGGTTCCTTGATTTTATAGTTCGGGTCTTTCGAAAATGAGTAAAGTTAGATTTGAGATCTAGAGGGAAAGTTTGGGTTTTTCTTTCTTTCGGAAATTTGCTTGTTAGAAATGAAAAAAGTAGTCGAAACTTTTTGTTCCTTGCTTACTTTTAGAATAATTAAGTTTCTTGTCGCAATTTTCTTTCGGTTGGGTCTTAGAATTGGACTTCGACTTGATAAATATGGATTGGAGTCGCCACCGATCATTTATTTAAAACAAATGGGTTGATCGGATACCCTATTTCTTATATGATTTGCGTCTTTCCAAAGATGTGTCGAGTTCGGGAGTCGGTTACGGTCAATGAAGGATTAACACCCTTGAACCGTCCTTTCGGTACTACGTAATTTCCAGTTGTCTTTGATTAAGAAAATTACAAGTTAAATTAAAAGGTAAAATTTGATCCGAATTACTTATCCTTAATGAGTTTACGAAAATACCCTTAAAAATAAGATTTTAAAAGAAAATAATAATAAAAGAAAGTAACAAAACTAAAGAGTAAACTAAGAAAATAAATGAAACCAATAATAATAAACATAAAATAATTGGATGAAAAAAAAAGAAATTGAATAAAATAAATAAATGAAGATAAAATATATAAAAAAAGAATAAAAAATGTAAAGTTTTGTTTTTAAAAAAGAAAAATAATAATAAGAGCAAATAAACTAAAACTATAATGAAAATAAATAGTATAAATAAAATAATATATATATATATATATATATATATATATAAAAATGTATGTATAATATAATAAAATACTAAATAGTAATAATAATAATAAATAATGAAAAATAAATATACATATAATATTAACTAAAAAAATAGTAATCATAGAAATATAAAATAAAATAAAGTAAGAATATATATATATATAACGTTAGAAAAATAGTAAAAAAACATAGTAAATAAATAAACATAGATAAAAAAATAATAATATAATATATATAATAATAGAAAAATAATATATAACGCAAAGAAAAATAAAAAAAATGTATAATAAATAAATAAATAAAATATAATTAAATATATACATATATACATATAAATAATAAGGGTAAAATTAAAATAAAAAATAAATTAGGGGTCAAAATTAAAGTCGATCGAAGAAAAAAATGACAAAATACGCGGATCCACACGACCCGTTTATAAAAATCCGAATAGTTTTTCAAAAACACAAGCCTCGGGGACTAGATCTACAAAAATAGATCTCGAAAACGCCCCCGTTCATCAGCCTAAAACACTTCTCTCAGTTTTCTTTCGAAATCAAACACAGCAAGGGTAAGGAAAAATAACATGCGAAGGCATGAACTTTACCTTTCAAAATATAAATGCTTCGAAAAATGGCTACGAGTTGCTTGTAATTTTTTGCTTGGTATTTCGTATATCCTCCTCCGAATGTGTTACAATAGTGAGTTACAATAGTGAGTTACAATAACTATTTATAATGCTTGTGGATCCTATCTTTAGGAGTTTAAATAATAGTATAACTCTATCCTATTTTTAGGAGTTTGAATCCTAGCAAAATTCTATCATATTTTTAGGAGTTTGAATCTTACTAGGACGAAAATGTGTGTTAACAACTGCCCCTCTTTGCCCATAGTCGTGTAACGGGGATAGGACAAAGATTAAAAGACACACTTTTCGTTCAGTGGAGTTGAAAATTGACTCTGATGTTTTAATAACTCCCTGTCGAATTGAGTTACGGATGACTCCTCCATCGTGAAGTCGAGTTCATCTTGAAATGATATGAAATTGAAGCCATATTTCGAAATTTGAATCAGCACGTGGCTTCCCGTTGCCCTTCGGTCTTCTTCTCGGTTTAAAGACCTTGGATCGAAATCGAACTCAAAAATCATCATTGACAGATAACTTTTTCTTGACTTAAGCTATGCTGCTTGAAAATGGTTGCTTGTCACTCAGGCACGACTAACCCAGGTCCTCTTGTCGACTTGAAAACCTCGACTGCAACCAGAAAGTAGTGCGATTGATGTGTCATTGAGCTGAATGGAATCGAACTTGACAATTTTGATGGCAGATAACCCTTCTAGCCTTGAGTTATGCTGTAAATGATATGCCTTAGAGCTGAGCGTAGTCGAACTCGAAGGTCTTTGTTGACAGATAATCCTTCTTTGAGTTAGATATCCCTCGTCGTGAAGTTGAAATCCAATCTAAAGATGGATGATGCTTGTGTGCACGATTCCCTTCGTCGTGAAGTTGAAACCGCGGATGGCCCCTTCGTCGTGAAGTTGAGCCTGGAATTGGATATCTTTCGTCGTGAAGTTGAAATCCAAGTAAGTAGCATTGTTCCGAGTCCAATATCCTCCGTCGTGAAGTTGAAATTTGCTATGGAATCGGGAAATTGTTTGTTGACAACCAGTCGTCCCTTCGTTTTGAAGTTGAACTTGTGTTGTCTCGAGTCCAATATCCTTTGTTGTGAAGTTGAAATTGGCTCCGAAATTAGGAAATTGTTTGTTGACAACTAGCGGTCCCTTTGTCGTGAAGTTGAACTTGCGTTGTCTCGAGTCCAATATCCTTCGCTGTGAAGTTGAAATTGGCTCTGAAATTGGGAAGTTGTTTGTTGACAACAAGCGGTCCCTTCGTCGTGAAGTTGAACTTGCGTTGTCTGGAGTCCAATATCCTTCTTTGTGAAGTTGAAATTGGCTCTGAAATTGAGAAGTTGTTTGTTGACAACCAGCGGTCCCTTCGTCGTGAAGTTGAACTTGTGTTGTCTGGAGTCCAATATCCTTCGCTGTGGAGTTGAAATTGGCTCCAAAATTGGGAAATTGTTTGTTGACAACCAGCGGTCCCTTCGTCGTGAAGTTGAACTTGCGTTGTCTCGAGTCTAATATCCTTCGATGTGAAGTTGAAATTGGCTCTGAAATTGGGAAGTTGTTTGTTGACAACCAGCGGTCCATTTGTCGTGAAGTTGAACTTGCGTTGTCTGGAGTCCAATATCCTTCGTTGTGAAGTTGAAATTGGCTCTGAAATTGAGAAGTTGTTTATTGACAACCAGCGGTCCCTTCGTCGTGAAGTTGAACTTGCGTTGTCTGGAGTCCAATATCCTTCGTTGTGAAGTTGAAATTGGCTCTGAAATTGGGAAGTTGTTTGTTGACAACCAGCGGTCCCTTCGTCGTGAAGTTGAACTTGCGTTGTCTCGAGTCCAATATCCTTCGCTGTGAAGTTGAAATTGGCTCTGAAATTGGGAAGTTGTTTGTTGACAACCAGCGGTCCCTTCGCCGTGAAGTTTAACTTGCGTTGTCTGGAGTCCAATATCCTTCGTTGTGAAGTTGAAATTGGCTCTGAAATTGAGAAGTTATTTGTTGACAACCAGCGGTCCCTTCGTTGTGAAGTTGAACTTGTGTTGTCTTGAATGGGACAATATCCTCCGTCGTGGATTTGAAATCGTGGATGTTTGGCTTCGAGCTAGATATCCTTCGTTGTGAAGTTGAAATCTACTCTCGAGCAAATTGTGAGTTCGAGAGAAACTTTCAATCTGT